TAAAACAAATTCTGCCATATATGTAATTTCTGAAGCATTCTTTCTTTATAAATAATTACTTTTGGTTATTTCCAATTACTTTTCAGGAGGTTTAAGCAAAGGACAGCAATGCACAAATACATCACAAGGAACAAAAAGGTAATTGTTTTCTGGAAACTTGAGTATGCAACTCGTTTTAAAATAGTAAAGTTTAGAAAAATATTCAATTTTGTAAAATTTGTGTATGTATGCATTGTGTATTTTAACTTCTTACTGTTTGGGTTTTTTTTTTTCTTTCTTTAGGTCTGGATTAGCAGCTTCACAGACAGTATCAAAAAGGGCCAAGTCAACCAATTCCAAGCATACACTTGAAATGTTTTTTAAATGACTGTGTAGCAAAATATTCTGTGTAGCAACATATTCTGTATTAAGTATTTTGTAGTGGTATATGACTACAAATTTATTTAGCACTGGTGGTAGGCTGGATTCAGGTGCCGGTCATTTTGGACCCATTGCATGCCTGTGTAAAAAGAATATAGTGTTTGCAGTAGAAGAAGAGGTACAACTGAGGTAATTTTTTCTTGACAATTATACTTCTTTTCGCAGTTGTTTCTGAGAATCAAATTTGGCTAGCGCTTTGGCTTTGTATCGAAGACATGAAGTTCGTTAGAGTCACAAGCAGCATTCTCTCTGCTGTTTAATGAAGAAAACAGAGAGATTGGAGCTGCCACTGAGCAAGCCTGTAGGACAAACTTCCCTAGGAAACAGGAATTGTTAGCTAGGGTGCCATGCTGTGCTTACTGAAGGCCCACTGCCCACACTAGACCTGCTGTCTTCTTTGCATTGGTTGTATTGGCCATGGTAGCCCTGGTGGCTCAGGCTGACAGTTCATTGGACAATTTAACACCAAATGTAATTGTGATACCAAAGAATAGCTGAGCTGCTTAATTTCAGGTTACCAGTGTGTGTCTTCTCAGTAGACACAACAATTGATTGAGCTTGCAATTTCAGTGGAAAACACAGTCAAGCTTTCATTGTTGTCACTGAAAAATACTTCATTTAGAACTGATGGACTCATGAGATACAAGATAATATAACTGATTTTAAAAATGTTAATAAACCTGTTGGTGAGAGAAGGATTCCCCCAGGTTAGTCAGACAAAGGCTGTTTGATCCTTGGCCTTTCCAAAGAGGCTGAGAACTTCAATCTTCTTAACAATTATGAAATTGTTACCAGAATGTATTCTAAGTAAAAGGCTTAATGGTGCAATAATAATTTGAATTATGTGGAAATATGGAAGATTATAAACCTTTTTACTGTTTACATATTTTTTCTCTCCTGAAATATTTTGTATTTCTGAATAAATAATCTTTTATGAGTGCATATGTGGAAGGAGGAAATTGTAAAGTGCAAATATTTAAAATACTCTGTTTAGATTTTTTCTGTGCACACCAAATGGGTTAAATGTAGACATTTTATTATAATTAAATATTTATCTGGTAAATAATTTATGATGGCAGCATATTTCTTATTCAAAGAATGTTATTTAAACAATGGAAAACCATATGTGAAATATCAACTGCTTTTTAATTGAAAAATCTTTTAAATAAATGGCCACTGTAGAAGCATCTGTTTTGTTGTTTAATAATATTGGAAGCACTTTGGGGATTGCTTGTTTTTTAATGAAACAAATATGTAATGGGTATGCTTTAGACTCCCAGGCTAAGTCCAGAACATTCTCTTTTGTTTCCAAACTTTCTGGAATTATTTCACCATCTCTACCTGCTCATCTGTTTGCTTGCCAGATGCCACAGTACTCACAGCTTGGCCATTTGCATTAGCTGCAGTGCTCCCTTATCTGCTTTGGACAAAATCAGATCCAAATCAGCTGGACTAGTTCAGACTATGTAAACTGATTCTGTTGACTTTTTCTAAACCAGATCAATGAACATTCAACATGAGCCATTCTGTTGACAGAGGTGGGAGCTGGAAAAACATAAAAGTTTTTGGTAGGAAAAACATAAAAGCAACTGTGGGAACAGTGACTTAAGCCACCATTTAGAAAATAAACACCTGTCCCTTTATTAGTTTATACCTGTCTGATGCAATAAAGTGTAGAAACTGAGTATCACCTTGTCATTGTGTGTGTTTCTTTAAAATGTGTATGTTCACGTATGCATTACTTAGCAAAAAGTGCTTGGAGAAGTGAAATTAGTTTGGCTTAGCTTCACTATTTGTTTTACCATCTGTTTAAAAAAAGTTTCATGGAGTTATCTGAGCGTCATGAAGTTAGAGTAGTGGACTATGTCAGAGGTAATGTTGAAATAAAACTCATGGTATGTATCTAAAGCCAAAACTCCTGTCTTTTGAGATATGTGTAAAAATATGCCTTTGGGAAAGGTGATGCTATGTATTTACAGAAAATGTTTGGTGAAATTATTTTAGTTTTTCCATTTTAAATCTGCTATGCAAATCAGAAGCATTTTTTTCTATTCCTTAGAGTTTCTTGTACTGCATCTATTACTGTTTTTATCTGAAGAAGGCCTTCAATATATGATTAAGTATTGTCATAAACTTCTGTGGTTTTTTGTCTCAGTTCTTGTGGCAAAGATTTGCAAAAAATCTTTTTGTTTTGCATTTTCTGTGTGTGTGTGTGTGTGTGTTATATAACTCACCTTAACTTAAAATCTGTTCTCATTAGCACCCGGAAATGTCTTTAGAGCTGTTTTTAACTTAATATAAAAATTATTTCCTGTGTGTGAGCCATTCCACACTTTACTAGAGCCACAGTTCCGAAGCATGTGAATGACCTACGTTGACAGGAAATAAGAATTTTTGTGTGTTGTATGTATACCTCTTATTTAAGGTAGATATATATACTATATCTTGAATTCCTCTTTTAGTTATCAATGAAAGGAAAAAAGGGTGACATTTCTGTGATCTTGATGTTCTTCTCTCCACCACTTCTGAAGAAAGGAATGCAGACAGCATATGTGTGACCACAAAGTGACATCCTCTGTAAGGGGGGAGCTTTGTGTATGTGGGGACAAGCACAGAGACGCCCCACTAAGAACAAGACTTGCTTGAGTTTATCTTGTAAATTCGCAATACCCAAAAACTCAGACTGTAGAATAGCCTTTTCCCACAGAATCTGTTTACTATATAATTTAATTTATGGTTGAGTTTTGAAATATCTTGCTTGAAGAATGTCTTACTGTGGATGGTTATCACATTGACCACTTTTGTTCATTAGTCATCTTGCTTGGGTATCTTGAAATCCCTATTTCTGTAAACTTTCCTCTTGGAAATATATGAGTACTTCGGCTTATGCTGTTTTGTTCTTAGAGTTGCTGAAGTTCTACTTTGAAGTGTCAGTAACAGGCGGGAAAATCAGCAAGACAGAGTTTGGGCTTGAAGCTTGATCCATGTTGAAATTATTTTTGGAATGTTTTATCACATCCCTTTCTCCCACACTGTAGCATGCAGATGTAAGCAAATGCTTGGAACCATTAAGAATTGTGTTGCCTACCAGTGAGCCTAGGGAGCAGCAGCCTGCAGGTCTTCCTCTTAAGAAGTTTTGCTGGAGTGTTTGACTCACAGGAGGAAACTAAAAGTGAAACCTCCACGATTCAGCTATGGCTAAATCAGTCACTTGTTCTTCTTGGGAGTTTTTTTGTGGGTTTTTTTTTTCAGCTGAGTCTGGAAGCTTAGTTGATGAAACTGTCTCATCTGACCAAGGTGTATCAAGTATGAAGATTCTTGTACATCACAGCCTGACTATCAAAAATGTTTAAAGGAGAAAAGAACTCTTAAACCTTTGTCATTTATGACAAACAGAATCTGAGCAAATAGTTTTATATTCTAAGTTGCTCAATTTATAAACTCTTTGGGTCTTTCAGATTGATTTTACCGTGGACATACATGGTGTTAATAATCCTGTGAGTTAAGACAACTGTGTAATTGAATTACAAAGAAAAAACTACAGTGAGGGAACTGAAATGTGTCTTCAGTTGTGTGAAGTGGAATACTGACTGTTGTGCCTTCCTGCCCACTTTTCCAAAATTTGTTTTGAAATGATCGCAGTATCTACTAAAGTTTCAAAGTAAAATTTAACCTAGTAACTTCAAAAAATGCTTATGCCAAATCCCAGCAAATCATTATCAGGATGAAATGAAAAATCAGTGCTGGCTTAAGTTGACCAAAGTAACTGTGGACTTAAACTGAGGAACAGGTAGATGAGGTGGATCTCAGTATGTCTGTTCACAACAGCTGAAGCTTTGGGGATGTGAGTACTGGTTTTGGCTGGACTTGGACAGGTGCAAATGGAAGTGTTGTCTACCTGAAAATGAAGTCTTGTGATTGGTCAATACTGCTACTGCATATTTGTATTTCTGTCTAAAATTGAGACAGAGGCCTCTCCCTCTCTCGCGTCCTAAGGCTGCCTCGACCTTGCGGGGGCACGGGGACGGTGATTCTCTCCAGTTCAGTGAACACTGGTGACAGGAGGTAAACAACTCCCAAGCAGAATTTCCCTCTAAAATGGCCTTCAGCCTGCAGAGAGAGCTCCATGACTACCCTGCAATTCATTAGTGACAAAGCCTCTTGGCTCCGGGGCTCCCATGCAGGTTGTGATGCCCCTGTGTGTCTGTATGTCTGTACTCGGGCATTGCTTTTCAGAAGTGCCTCCTTGTGCCCTGATTTGGGAAGCACTTCAGGAGCAAACCGGTCTGTTTGTCCTGAGTGTGCATCTGTAGGAGCAAAAGGCTATTTGCAGGTAAGGTTAGCTGCTAGAGAAGAAAGAGGATGGAATACTTTGCAGGGATTACCTTCTTTGGTGCCTACCTAGGCAAAAAATTCCTGGCTTTCTTTAAAACGCTCCTAAAGCTGCTCTGCACAGCGCTCCGGGTGCTGTGGCCAAGGCCGGGCGTGCCGGGCCCGGCGGGGTGTGCCCAATCCGGCCCGCGGCGCTGGGAACCGGTTTGTTAGGGTCGGGGCATGAGGAAGAGGAGCCCAGGGCAGCGATGAAGGGGCTGAGCCGCCTGCTCCGCGGCGAGCGGGAGGCCGAGCGGGGACCCGCGGCTG